CCGGTAGGTGCTCCGAGACCGTCACCCTCATTTGTCGTTATGCTATGTACACGTATTAGGCCTTAAAAATATGGTAAGCCCAAAACTCTAGTCCCTCTACTCTGTTAATGCGGGTCAAAGGGTTCCTCCTTCGGGTGTGAGGTACAGCGCATTAGATTACCAACTGTCAAATAGTAGCTGTTTGTCTACCTCAAAACCTCTCACCCGGTCAAATAGGCGTGAACGGCCGGTATGCATGCATGTGGCTACATGTGTACTTGCCAGTGTCGTCCCCCATGTAAACGCTGGCTCATGCGCGGATGGTGGAGTTGGAGTCAACCTACGGCACGCCACAAGGCAAGATCACTGATTGTTACATACCATGTGTCAGGCTGGTTGGAACGGAGACAGGTGTGTAAAATCGAAACAGCCGTGCCTCATTACCCGGCTACTGAGATAGAATCGTGTTTGCGCTTTCGCAGGCGTAAGTGGCCTGAGCAAGGATTGTGCAATAGTTGCTTAGTGTTATGCCAGCTAATGACAAGAGGGGACAAATGTTAACTTTTTATATTCTCGTACCTCGTTGTATCGAAATTCTATACTAGCTTTCCTCTCACCCCTACTACTCGACACCGTGAATGAAGATGCCAATTTTAGTTTACCGCGTTTAATTATTATTTCTAAGTGATGTTTTGTTGTTTAATAATTCACAGTGTTGGTGCAAACATACTGAAAATGCAACCATACGGGTGATAAAGCTTACTTTGACTTGACTTGATAATGCTGAAATATTTTGTTCCTCAATTGTACAGTAGCGTAGGAAATGGTAGCTCTTGTAGGTAACGTATGACCATAGCTCAGGGCACGGAGTTTCGTAAAAATATTATGAAATGTAGGACACTTCTGCAGAGACAAAAATAGGATTTCCACGCTAAATTATTTTCTGGACTCTCTTCATTGCTGGCATAAGTAAAAGCCATCTAGTTTTCCCGTATCCTAGAAGGCGTGGGTATTTCACCATCGGAGAGTCACTGAATTCCTTTACTTCTTCAACACGAACAGTGTAAATGTAAAAGTAGGCTTTTACTGCGTGCCGTTAGCCACATGCAACTTGCAATGTGCTTTGAGTGTTTGTCGTTTGTGTTCGCATGGACGACGCCCACTTCCACTCCAGTGTCGACGAGGAAAGTGATGAAAGATAGTCGATACTTAACGCACAACCGGGCAGCTGTCTTGTTGTTGACGAATGCTTTGGCCTTGCGCGTATGCAGGCCATTTCGTTTCCCTGCGACGGCTGAGTCGTATCTAATGTGGGGAGCCTGACAACCCTCGGTTTTCCGTCATATTGACGGTTATACCGACACAAGTCATTGCTGGGTTTCTTACTATCGAACTCAGAAAGCGCAGAGGAGATATTGCGCTTTTGGGTGGAACGAGACGTAGTTTGCACCTACACAGACGATCAACAGCGAACAGTAGCTGAAACGTGATCGACGGCGGACCGTGGCGTACCAAATCTCAAAGCCCACACTGCTCCTAGTCTACCGTGAACTTGCACAATTTTCTCGTCTTTTGTATCAGTTCGGCTTGGCGACTCGGAGAAAACGCGACACTCGTTTTCCATTGCTGAGAGGATGTTACAGAAACTACCGCTTGTCTGAAGCATAACACTTTCGAACGCAGCATGTGCTGTAGTAGTTAACTCATTCAGAGGTGCATTTAGCAACGTGCACATCATTGCGAGTAACGGCGCTGGAATACGTGCAATCCACAGCTCCTTTATTCCTTCATTACTCAAAAATAAGGGATCAGCAACGCAACCCATTTCGCGGCGCAACGTCAATGGCGTGCATTTTATCAGGTTGAGACCATTGAGCGGTTCAAATCGAGGCAGTGCGCCGGACTGTAACTTCTTTAATATCTTATACTTCACCGCTCCATACTTTGTCTCTGATAGGTAAGTAAATTTTCCTAACCAGCGTTACAGCCGACGAAGGAACGCGTGGGACCAGCTGATTGCACCTACGTCAGTCCGTTTGAATGCCCTTATTTTCGAGTTCGATGTCGAAGACGGCAAACCAATTATCTGGGCTGCGTTCCATTGAGGTTGGAACAAACAACGTGAGCAAATGTACGCTATGCAATGAGTCATCTGCTACTTTGGAGTTATATGTGCAGAGCGAATATCAGGGATAAACGAAAACACGACGAGAGCAGTAAACTTAGACAAAAAAACAATCAATGCAGGTGTAAAATCGAGAAAAAGGAACTAGTTCACCAAAAGTACAGACGAAGAAAATAGCTTTAATTTCGCGCGTGCCAATCGGGTCACTATTATGTATGACTAGTAAGTACTAATCCGAGACGGTGTGCGTAATCACGTGCGGATATCAGAAGCTAAATGAAGTCGGACACAGAGGACTACAAAAAGACGTGGACAGATGAGTTGAGACAAGAGAAAGCGTCAGCACAGTTACTCAAAGTACAGTTGTGTCTTGAGAAAGAAGTTGGCCAAAATGGTCTTAGTTTAAGATGTGAAGACAAATAAGAATAACCTACAATTGATCAGGAATAAAATGGAATATGAATGATAGTTTTTATCTTTCGGGATGTTACCAATCTTGTCGCCTAAATGACACATGTTTCACATATCAGTAATATTCCAAATGCTGTCTCTGTTTCCTTTGTACATAAATAACTGTCATTGAAATGTGAGTTGGAATTACTCGGCAGTGATTCTTCTCATGAAGACTAGTTGCCAAACTTTCTGCTGATTAACAGTAATCAGGATTTGGAATGAAGTAAATCTTATTGATTGAGCCGGTGGGAATAAGCGATTAGCAATGCCCACAGAGAAACCAATGTGCCAAGCTAGTTACGGGTAGGTATCCGAAACAGTTCCACCGAAAGAATTGGCATCCGAGTTCCGAAACCAAAGACAGCTCAAGTATGAATGTCGACTATTCAACCAAATGCTACAAGTTAAACCCGAGCCGGACAAGTTCCATCTCCAAAGTTCATAGTAAAACTATTTATTTGACAAGGAATTTTCCACCCCACAACCAGAAATCTAGATTTTTGCAGATATACTACACGTGACTCTATTGTTTAATTGATATTTTCAATAACTACCTGGCTAAAAATAGAAAAGAACGGATTAAGGTGACAAGAATCTTTATGTGATTCAAGAGAAACCAGTGGCCTGCCGCCGACCAAGTTATGGGGCATTTATCTGTGGTCAAGTATGAATTTGCAGTCCGGTAGCAGGCAAAGAGTTGATCTGAATTGCTCATAAATAGAAAAACGATAAAGGCTGTTACCAAGTAATTCGTTGACTTGCCAAATGTTTATTGTACTGTCCTTTCTGGTGGCCTTTGGTTGTGTGTAATTAAGATATCGAAAAATTTCCTTACTTTTTAATGATGGTTAAAGAATGCAAATCCGACTCTGAGACTAAGCAAAGCATGTTTTGCTAACTCTCCCTAAATAAGCTTAATAATTCATCGAAGACCAACTTGAACATCAGGCGATCGAGATACCACTCAACACCATGTATGCAAATGTGTACCATGAATGTATTTGGGTGGGTCTTTTAATCCCACACCAGCACCATTTGAATAGAGCGAGATTAGTTAATATTCAGAATACGTTTTGCTTGCTAAGATGTCAGAGGAAGGGAAAACCTGATCTCGTTACACAACGTATACTCATGCATTTCTGAACGACTCGAAAGTTTTCATTTTCTTTGCATTTAAATTAACTTCTTCTGATGGGGCAACTATATAAATGGTACTAAAGCAATCCGCACAATTACAGTATTCACTCCGTATGTCCGTGATTATGTTACTTTCTGTGGTTTTCTTTCTACTTGGAGTAGGCTGTCCCGAAGTTCCCTTCCGTGAATGTGGTAAGTCATTATGGCATGCAGTTAGCGATCCTCAGTATAGTGCACTTGATGTGCTATTAGTGAAATAACATAACTGTTGCTAATTTATCTGTTCCAGCCCCAGAGCACATGGCGATTTCAAGTTTAAGCATTTCAAATTGCCATGCTTCAAGGTGCCATTTTTATCGAGCGCACTTTAACAAAATATGGGTAGATATTGATTCACGTGAGTCAGCTGTGTGTTTATTAATTTGTTCAAAATACCTTTCAAACATGTATTGGTAATAATACACTGCATTTGCTGCTGTCAATGCAGGCTACAATGTCAGTCTTGGAATCGTTACGTTGACGGCAATAGCTACGGAAACATGGAAACAATCAGTTATCTTTCGATCGGATATTTCATGCCATTTTCTGATGGAAAACAATTGCGAAATTGAAAAACACAGTGGTTATTACACATATTCACATTTGGTACCGGCTTATACCGATTTCCCTCCAGTAAGTGCTTCCATTAAAATATATAACAGCAAATTTATTTTCGCTAAAAGATTTGATATGAGATATCTCATATATCATGTTAGAGAAAAAAATTAGCAGGGAATCACAATAGTTTGGAGCAGCTATTGGCATCCTCGTGGGTTTTTCAGTGACTATCACAGAACAGCTTGGTAAAAATGGTAATTCACATTGCTGCTAATGTAAGCCAAACAGGCATGTGTCTATGCATGATCTGAACAATGATGTTTTACGGGTTAAGATGCATTGATTTACCATCCCAGTTGGTTAGCCTGGTGGTTTATCGAAAAACGATAATGGAGAAAGTAGTTAATAGTTTTACTGCCAAAAGAAGAGACATCGTATTAAGGAAGTAACCTTCACTCGGAGTGTTTTCATAGCTTAAATAGGCAAAAAGTTAATCCGAGCTAATTCCCGGGATTGGAATAGAGAGTAGTCTCAATTAACAAAGTGTAATTGGCGGAGTGCGTTATCCAACCGACTTTAAATATGGCTAGCGTGGGTTCAGATGCCATCGATTCGGAGTGAGCGTCCATGGTTGACACATGAATGAAAACGGGATTCCTACGACACGCCAGACGACTGTACTGTTTTGTAAATATCAAGGAGTGGCCTCTAAGTTTAGTGTTACTGCCGAGTTGAAGTAAAGAGCGACACACATAATTTGGATTGTGTAAAGTTAAAAAACCCGTAATCAAGTTGTCTCGTAGTCGGCGATCCGGCTCACGGAATATTCCCCAACGTTTCAGCTTCTACTCGTATGGAAGGTGGAGCATTCGAATGACATTTTCAGAAGTCTGCCGTGGAGGTTGGTCTAGTGCAGTAAGGTCATGCCTCAGCCATGCCTTCCAAGCTTGGATTGCGTATTCGAAGTGGGGCGAACATACGCATTCAGCATCTGTCTGAAAATAGAGTTGTCTATTTCCGAACGTCCGTCGTAGCAAGCCGACGTGCTCGTCACCAGTTTTCGATGCGTTTGCGGATTGCTTGTCATAAGCAAAGTTATCCTGAACAAGCACGACAAGGTCGCGTTCGACTGATGATCGCTGTATAGTTTACGTTCTTGGCCTACAGGAAAAGATACTCTGGTGTCGTATGGAGAGTACCGCCATTTCCTCACATTGAACTGTAGCAGATTTCGGATTGAGCATTCATGTATCATATTTAGGTCGCACTGAATTGAATTCTTAACGGCATCCGCCAGAATCCGGCGCCATATCTTGATATCGCCAGCGAACAGCAGGATATTTGGAGCGATTTTCCGCGCACTTATGATTAGCAACAACCACCATGGACCAAGAACTTAACTCTAGGGCACACCAGAGTCGACTGGAAGGGGTTAGCAAAGGAACTTTGGACTGTGACTTCTAAGTGCCGTTGCAGGAGAGACTTGACAATGTAACTCAAGTCTGGGTCACCGATCCCGTAATATTAGAGCTCGGAAAGGAGAACCCGACGATTTAGATTAGTCCTGTCCAAACGCTTTTAAATGTGGGCTAATGTTGTGCGGTAAAAGCATGTCGGGCCATATGCAGTATGACAGTAATAATACCAAAATTACACATGTACGAAAATAGTCCAAGCCTGAATTTATCAGTTCGTGCTGAGGCCGCTGGATATTTGAACTGTGAACCCGGGCCGCGTTTGGCCCGCAGACCGGAATTTGGACATCAGTGATCCAGTAGGTCGAAGTGCTTGGATAATTCCAAGTAGATCACATCAGCGGCCACTGCAGCGTCGGATGACTCGGTCCAACTACTCCGTGCGATTAATAAATTCGTTGTGCGCGAGCGCTGTCGAAGAAAACCGTATTGTTTGGGACGAATGATGTTACAATTTCATAGATAACACACCAACGCATCGGCAACGATGGGTTCCATGACCTTTGGCAATTCAGGAAAAAGAGACATAGGGCGATTGTTTGGGGGCTTAGTCCTGCTTCCGTCTTTGTGAATCGGAGTAATCATTCCAAGCTTCCGCAGCGCATGAAGTTTGTATTGGTCTAGGAAGCGCTGAAAGGAATGAGCCAAACGGTTTGCCAATTGCGTTGCTGCTGCTCCCAGTGCATCTGAGCGAATGGTGTCGACTCCCGGGAAGCAATAGTTGCGCAGAGACATCAGCTTTCGCAATTAAACGTCGGCAGTAGAAGTGATGTGTGTGAGTCCTGGAGGCATGGAAAAATATTGACAGACGGCCTGATAGTAAGATCCTCTGAAATGTGGGAGCAGATTGCGTCCACAACATGTTGGCTGCTTCTATGTCCGTTCCAGTTGAACCATCAGTCGTCCGGAGCGGAGGAATTTCCAGCCTCACATTATGACGGCAATTAACATACTTGTACTTCAGTTCGTGGTTAGCGCTGAAAGTTGTCTCCATCTACTGCTGACGTGGGACTTTGTCATCTCTGAGCAGTTGAATGTAGGGGTTACGTTGGGCCCGGTATTGTCCCAGTTATTTGGCGTTGATGGCGATGTGTGCTGTCGCCAGGTTGCGTTGCGTACAGTCATGCACTTGCTAGTTCTGCTCCTCATGAAATACACGATAGTAGGAACATTGAAAACCCTTGTCACTTAGGTATCTGTAACCATTTGATTGAATTTGCTGACGAAATCAAGCCAAGCGACTTCCAGTGGTCTTCAGCGAGGAACGACCAGGTTTCGGCACTGACGGGTTTGGGCTTATCGGTCGTAGCGCATAATGGTGGGCACCAACTCAGTGTTCTGGTGGCGATGTTCCGGATAGCAGATGAAGTCGAAACTGATGCGTGCATAATCACTGGTACCCAAAGGGCATTCTACAATCAATACATCAATCATATGTTCCCCGTTACTGAACACACGATTCAGCAGAGATGGTTTATTACCTATTCTGAAACGAGTGGGCATAGTGTTGTGCTTGTAAACTGCAACACAGGATATGAGCTCTTGCAGATCTGCTTTGAGGAGTATTTCGATTGTATCAGGGCTTTCTAAAAGGTATACATTGAAATCACCCATGATAATAATGCGTAGGTTCTTTCATATTAGACTGCACTAACTCAATTTCGTGTGTAGGATTGGGTGTCGGTACCCCAAAGCTACCAGACATCTCCCTGCCATGTAATTGCAGACAGCACCAAAGAGAATCGGCGAACTGTAATTGTGAATCTTCAACTGCCATTTATTGTAGGTCGCTCGGGTGAAAAATATTACGCCTCCTCAGGTGAATCAGTGTGCCATTGGAGTGGGATTTTATATCTAACAGGGGAAATAAGCGCGATACTCATGACTTGAATCAAGGTGACATTATAGTAACAGCTAGTTTTGTCAACCCAGGTGCTTCCATCACAGTGGGAATAGTCCAGATGTTCATTTGTGCGACATGGCATTGAATAGCATGACGTTGTCTAAATGAAGGCCTCACTCTGATCGGTTCAAACTACCGGTTGACCAGAAAATCGAGGGTATGACATGGTGTATTATCATGTCGTACTTCGTTTTACAGTCGAAGCTGTACAGTCAGGAACAAGGTATCGCCATGGGATTGCCAGTATCCACTGTACTAGCGAATTTGTGTATGAAAGACTTGGAGCACAGGGCGTTAACAAACACCATTAACTCATCAAATTTTGGTGGCGTTATGTAGACGACACCTCTATACTTGTTAAACGGGGTAAGAAGGACGAGTTGCTTAATCACTTAAACTCCATTGAGGAAAGGATACAGTTTGCTATTGAGTTGGAATCGTGTAGGGGTATAATACCATTGTTTGACTGCGTGTTGCACAGGAATGGGGGAAATTTAAAGACGACAACACATCGCAAGCCAACAGATACTGACGACGTACTTCACTACACTTCAGATCATCCGAAACAGGTTTACGCTGGGATAGCCTCCGCGCTGTTCTACAGGACAGAAACCTTGTACACTATGGAGGAGGACAAAAAGGCTGCGCGGAAAGTGGCAATGAGCAAACTATTAGAAAGTGGTTACCCACGACGGCCATTCAAACGCCAATTGCATGAAGAGCTAAACCGGCAGTCAAGATCCCCAACCGAGTTTGTAAGGACGATAGGAATTCCGTACAAGGAAGACACTTCGGTGGCAATTCGGAAGGTACTAAACAATGAAGCTATAAGGGTGAACTTTCAGCAAGGTCGAACTTTACGTTCGGCGCATGTACACCTGAATGCAATCCCTCCCCAGAATAGGACGAATAACTGTGCTTATAAAACTAAATGCAGGGCCCGTGCGCATGTGTACATAGGCCAAACAGTGAGCGAATCACGCACACTCATTTCAATACCAGCAAGAAACGAGTTTGAATACCAGGCAATAGTAAGACACTCGGCCGTAGCTGTGCATTCATTCGACACGGGTCAACAGATAGACTTGGAAGACGTAGAGGTCATTAGGAGAGGCATACGATCAACGCCTCAGCGGTTGGTTGACGAGGCGATGGTAATTACCAAATCTGACGACTGCGTGAATAGAATAGAGAGCGTAGAACTCTCGAATGCGTGCCGAGTAATCTTAAGCCGGCCAGAGTAACGAACATCGATATGTGGATCAGATTGGAAAGTGCAAACCGACTCCCGTTGTCCAAACTATGGGCTTATCCGTCAATGCCATGACGCACTAGTCCCACTGTGATTGAACCACCTGAAGGGACTTCACCAACTGTTACTGTAATAACACCTTGGCTCAAGCCTCGGGTATCGCAGTTATCGCCCTTGTTCGCTATAAAATCCCACTCTAATTGCATACTGATTTACCTAGTCTGATGAAGCTCTTACGTGAATGGAAAACGTTACCAAACTAATAAACCAACCGATTGCTTTCAAACCTCTCTGAACTCGTGATTACTCGAGCGGTTCCAAGTATCTCGCAAAAATACGGATCAACCCTCCTCCTTTCGTAAGTCTGTAGTTTCGTATGAGTGACATGCCAGGCAGGGCGACTTCAGCGTCCATCCTACTAATGCGCATCCATGTCTCAGAAATACCGATGATGTCGCATGACCTGGCATCTTGGAGATCTTTCAGTTCGGCCAGTTTATTGAATAGATCCTGCGCATTCGTATAGAAGCAGGCTAGTTTCTCGGTCTCTAGGAACCCACTGGGATCCAAAGGAGTCAAGTGTGATAGAATGCCGACCGATGCGAGGTCGGCCGTTTTCCCTTCGTTTGATGGGATGATGTCACGTCTGTCGCAAACTGCTTTTCCCAAGGTACGCCCCAAGCCTCTTCCGGACATACTGCAGAATCTCGTGACCGGGTGGTAAAGTGATGCTCCTGCGTAATCGCTGGTAGTTTTGCTTTTTCTCTTAGGATCATGTCTGGTCTTCACAAGGCTTCAGCAGCTTTTAACCGAAGTTCAGATGGAAGACATTTCCGATGTCGCCCTCAAGCTACTAACACATTCCTTGCTGTCTGCCCTAACGGAACCAGGTGTCTTAGGATTTTTGGTACGTTTCCACTATACTTTGGTGAGACAGTTAACCTTTTGACCGATCCCCTCACAAAGTTGTCCAAGGAAAATGTTGCACAAATCTACTGCCAATGTACCAAATCATGTGTACCGGCCTGATGACTAGCTTAGGAAGGAAGTTGTAGCACGCCATAAATGCAGTGTGCGGTTGGGCAATCCAGCTGGCTGTGTTCTGCCGAGATGTCTCTTTCGATTGACGCGTGCTCCTAGAGACCTCATCATAGATGCACACCTTACAAAACCCGTGTTGTAGTGCACTTGCAGAGAGTAAAGCTTTTTGATATCATTGGCGGAAACCCTGTGTTACTCGAATAATTCTGGGTTTGCCATAGCGTGCAGCTTTCTGGTGACGAGTAATACTATCTATGTTTGGGGTTTAGGTTTAACATTCATCCGCTGAATTAAGCGCTGTGGCCAGAGTTTATCACAACAGCTGAGCATGCTTAGGTCTCATTTGGCGCGTGACACCTAAATTTTAATCAATAATACCGCACTAGTGAAACATAAAGCGTTTATAAGGAATATTGTAGAACAAAGCACATTTCAAAATGACACACGCTATCATGTAATTCTGTCCACACTTGCAATGCTATCCTTCTATCTCTTCAGGGAAGACGACCAATGCAGTGGGCATTTAAACAGAATGGCCAAACGCAGGCGTGCGCATTTTTCTATATTACCATTGTTTAAGGAGTACGTGGAGTTCGCCCACCCAATATCATGTCATAAATTTAAGTGATTCGTGCAATTTATCTCCACATTGCACTTCAGACTGTTTTCAATAATACGAATTACTCTTTTATCCCATACTGCTAATACAATATCCTCCAATGGCAGGAACGTATTCACTCCGATTTCATGTCCCACCTAAATTTCAAGTACTCCAGCTAGCCTCGTTTTGGAAGTTTATCGATGGGCAGTTAGGCTGTAGTCCACAGCAGGCGCTTGTTTAGACTGCGTACTATTTATTGAAAGCTAGCTAAAAGTTAGACGTATTCACATCATGTTTAATTGATCCATTTACCATTTTGTGGGACCTTGGCGTTTGCCGATTCATCTATGTCCTCGATGCATGGTTGAAGAAACAAGCAAACTCTGTAGAATCTCATAGACGCCGAAAATTCCCAATCCAATTTGGGCGTTTCGTAATGAATACAAGTTTTAATATTGCCTCTTATCTGGTTAAGGAACAGACTAGTAAAGTAGAATTTGTCTATTCAAATTAATGTAGCTGTAGGACTGCGAGCAGAAGAATACGGACCCACTGTTCATTCACTTAGGTTTGGAAGCGTATTCGCTTCTTCCAAAACCTTGACTTCCATACGTTTTAAGAAAAACTACGACAACATTGAGCTGACTGCACTGCTGTTCAAAACATTACCCGGCCGGTTTGAGGAACGATCGCACAGTATTTTCTTGATTTCTAGGGCCTTAGCTGTTAACAAGCTAAACGCTCTTCAGTAGATTAAGGTTAAACTATTAAATACGTTCTGTCATAAACTATATCCCATTGAAATTCAATTACGTATCTCTGAGAAATAAGTCAAGTCAAGTTTAGTCTAAATAAGCTTTGTGCACCTAAGTAGACACATTTTCAGCTTTTTACACTGTCACTGCGAATGGAGACATATAGGAGATTTAATAGACAAGAACATATAAGTTGTGTAACGCAAAATGTTTGTGTGTCACTCCAGCAAACAACTTCACAACATGGTGATGAGTTGCGTTGAGTCCACAGGTAATCATGACAAGTAAGGAAGGATAGACTTGCGGTGAGAAGCCGTACGAGAAAATAAATGCCCGAATTAGGAGTGTGTAGATGAAACAGACAGCGCTTTCAACAGCGCTTTATACGTTGGAAGAGAAGGGTCATTTAGTATTTTAAAGGAAAATCTATTACAAGCATCTACATGCGTGCTGGCGAGAAAATCAACAACTGCCTCCCTAGACAGTCCAATGCATCTAGCAATAAGTTTAATGAACGTAAGAACAATATGTAATCTTTCTTTAGTAGTCCAGGAAAAATTAGTGGAGAACAGTAAAGCCAGTGAGGCAGAAAGCATGCAGTCACAAATTGAAGAATCAACTCCTGAGGTACGGAAAACATTCTTAATCTGAGCGCATAAAAGATAGCATTCTAACCGTGTCAAATGATTTAGTGATAAGAGTAGACCATGCTAGGAATTGAGATAAACAAAATCTCGAAGATATTTGACAGTCGTCTCTCGGGTATGAGTTAAGTACCTACTTCCAGCGAGGAAGTGGCATTTGAAATAGCTAGCATAACTCGACCGACAGACCATATTACCGCGTTAATCCTGCGAAGGATAAAGCGTAGGTTCGGAGCCGCTAGACACAGACAGACAGCCACCACACATCCAGGAAAGCGCTAGACGGCCGCTTCGTCATATTGGGACTCGTCAGTAGCGCACACCCACCGAAACCTAGCGGATCCGAACACACGAGCTTAATTTGCGAGCCAACGACTTTTGTCACTGAGCCATGGGCGACGGCAGCGCACTGCCATGAATGATATGTAAATGCGATATAGCGCCGCTCATCGTCCATTGTATGCATGTTACGTAACGGATGTCCAGCGATGCCCTGCATGTGTGGTTGCTGTCTGTGTCTAGCTGCGAAGACTTGCACAAATAACTAATAAACCCCCTACTACTTACAAATAATCAGTAGTTACCGTAGCAGCATATTGTCACCTCGATTGGTGGTGAAATGCAAAGGAAGCCTTTGCTCTGGGGGACAGCTTTGTACTCTGCGCGTCATGACATGCAAGACAGTGGAGGATGAGCCACGCTATATCGCAGTTAGGTATCAGTCATGGCAGTCAGCTGCCGTCGCCCAAGGCTCAGTAACATAATTCGATGACTCGCAAGAGTAAGGTCGTGGGTTCCAATCAGGCAGGATTCGGCAGGTGCGCGCTACCGACGAGACCCAATAAGACGAAAGGCCGTCTAGCGTTTTCATGAATGTGTGGTGGATGTCTGTCTGTGTTTAGCCGCGACGAATCAACACAAACGTCTAATAAATCCCCGACAACTTCCAAATAATCAGTAGTTGCCTTAGCAGCATACTTGCCACCTCGACTGGTTGCGGCTTGCAAAGGATGTATTTGATATGGAGGCCAGCACTGTACTCTGCACGTCATAACATGAAGCCAGTGTAGGATGTGCCGCGCTATATCGCAGTTAGATATCAGTCATGGCAGTCCGCAGCTGTCGCCCAAGGCTCAATAACATAAGTAACTGACTCGCAAGAGTAAGGCTGTGGGTTCCAATCCGGCAGGATTAGGCAGGTGCGCGCTACTGACGAGTCACAATAGGAGGAAACGGCCGTCTAGCACTTTCCTGGATGTGTGGTGGCTGTCTGTCTTTGTCTAGCTGCGAGGAATCTATAAAAACCTTACAAATCCCCTACTACTTGCAATTAAGCAGTAGTTGCCGTGGCAGAATAATTGCCACCTCGATTGGTTGCGGCTTGCAAAGGAAGCCGTTGCTCTGGGTGCCAGCATTTTACTCTGCACATGGTAACATGCAAGCCAGTGAATGATGCGCCGCGCTATATCGCAGTTAGGTATCAGTCCTTTGCAGTCCGCTGCCGTCATATATGTCTCAGTAACATAAGTCGATGACTCGCAAGAGTAAGGTCGTTGGTTCTAATATGGTTGGGAGTCGCCCGGTGCTCGCCACTCACGAGTCCCAATGGGAATATTGCCGTCCAACCATTTCTTGGATGTGCGGTGGATGTCTCTCTAGATGTAGCTGCGATAACCCTAAACAATAGCAAAATAACTCACCCAACCACTTAAAAATAATCAGGAGTAGTCTTAGCAGCATACTTGACACCTCGAGTAGCTGCGGTTTGCAAAGAAAATCGTTGCTTTGTGGGCCAGCCCTGCCCTCTGCACATCATAACATACAAGACAGTAGAGGATGGGCCGCGCCATATCGCAATCAGATATCAGTCATGACATTCGGCAGCCGTCGCCCACGGCTCAGTGACATATGTCGCTGACAGGCAAGCATAAATTCCTGGGATTTCTCTGGTCAGGATTCGTCGGGTGCGCGCTACTGACGCATCCCAATAGGACGAAACGGCCGTCTGGGGCTTTCCTGGATGTGTGGTGGCTGTCTGTCTATCTTTAGCTGCGACGAGTCTAAGGAAAAGCCTAAGCACTCCCCTACTACTAACAAATAAGCAATAGCTTATTTGACAACCTGCCACCTGGATTGGTTGCGGCTTGCAAATGAAGTCGTTCCTGTGGGGGCCAGCCTTGTCCTCTGCACATCAAATCATGCAAGACAGAGGAGGATGAGCCGCGCTATATCGCAGTTAGATTTTAGTCATGGCAGTCCGGTGCCGTCACCCATGGCTCAGTGACATAATTCCCTGGCTCGAAAATAATTGCGTTAGTTTGAATCCCGTAGGATTCGGCGGGTGCGCGTTACTGACGAGTCCCAATTGGACGAAACGGCCGTCTAGCGCTTTCCGAGATTTGTGGTAGCTGTCTGTCTGTGTCTCTCTGGAAAGAACCAATAGTTGTCTAATAAATCTCACTGCTATTTGCAAATAATGAGTAGTTGCCTTGGCAGCATACTGGCCACCTCGACTGGTTGCGGCTTGCGAGGGAATTCTTTACTCTGGAGGCCAGCCTTGTCCTCTGAGCATCTTAACATGCAAGACAGTTGAGGGCCAGTTGCGATATATCGCAGTCAGACATCAGTCATGACAGTCCACTGCCGTCGCCCTTTGCTAAGTGCCATATGTCGCTGACTCTCAAGAGTAAGGTCGTTGGATCCAATCTGGCAAGGTTGGCGGGTGCGAACTGACGAGTGCCAATAGGACGAAACTGCCGTCTAGCGCTTTCCTGGATATGTGCTGTCTGCATGACTCACAGTAGCTGCGACGGCTCTACGCAAATGTCTAATCAATCCCCTAAAACCTACAAATAATCCGTACTTGCCTTAGCACACTATTTGCCACCTCGGTTGGCTGACGCTTTCAAACGAAGTCGTTGCTCTGGGGACCAGCGCTGTCTTCTGCATAGCTTAACACGCAAGACGGTGGAGGATGAGCCGCGCTATATCGCAGATATCAGTCATGGCAGTCCGCTTCCGATGCCCATGGCTCAGTGACATATGGCGCTGACTCGAAAGAGTAAATTCCTGGGCTCTAAACCGGCAGTATTAACGGTTGCGCGTTACTGTCCGGTCGAAATAGGAGGACACCGCTGTCTAGCGAACTCCTGGATGTGTCGTAGCTGTTTGTCTGTGTCCAGCTGCGACCAACCTAAACAAAATCCTAATATATACCCCTACTGCTTACAAATAATCAGCAGTTCCTTAGCAGCATACTTGTTGCCTCGATTGATTGCGGCTTGCAAAAGAAGTCGATGCGTTGTGGGCCAGCCTTTTCTCTGCACATCATAACATGCAAGACAGTGAAGCATGAGCTGCGTTGTATGGCGCTTAGATGTCACTCATGGCAGTCCGCTGCCGTCGCCCATGGCACAGTGGAATATTTCGCTGACTTGCAAGAGTAAAGTCGTGGGTTCGAATCCGGCAGGATTCGGCGGGTGCGCGCTACTGACGAGTCCCATTAGGAAGAAACGGCAGTCTAACAA